TAAGTGGAAGGACAATTCATACTTAATACCTAAAGAAGAGATGATAAATAATCTAATGATCTATAAATACCTCATTCTTGAAGCAAGCTTCGATGACATATGAGTTGAATTTAAATAGGAACTTTAAAAGAGCATCGATAGGCTAGCTATGAGTGGTGATGCCTTATTTCGGGAAGGGCGGAGATTCACGTAATTCTTGTGAGATGAGACTGTCCACCAAGGTGGGTATGTGTCTCCAAAAATCTCCTAGTCTTTGAAATATGCTGCCAATATAGGGAACTAGCTTGTGGTTTTCCACCTAAGCGAGCTACGGATGTTTTGATTTCACCTTGGCCAGTTACTCCACCTCTTTTCAGTGTGGGAAATACACCGGATTTCATGATTCTCACATGATCTATGCCGATTAAGGTTTAAGTTCCTCAAGGTGTGAAATATAATGAAATGGACGATACCGAAGGTGTATGTGCAAGACAATCAGGAGGTTAAACCATATTCAGTTAATGACATTAGGTCATTCTTTTTCATTGAACTTAATGATCCCGATGAGAGTCTTAAACTTTATCCTAGGTATAGCTCGTGTTTACATCAGCCTACGAATGAATGAAATGAATAATGTGACGTACGTATGAATGAAAGAAGAAGACTCCGTGGTTGCTAAAGAAGTCCCCCAAGTTGAGGTCCTATATGTTGAGCCCTCATTTGGGAAGTCCTAATTTTAAATCCGTGATTCGAAGGTCTCATTGTATATAAACAAATTATATGTGAGAAATGTATATGCTATATGAAATATGTTATATGCTGTGTGCAATATGAAAAGAGTGATGATGCATGTAACTTTCATAGCATGACTTACAAATATGACTTGGCAAGTCCAACTTACTTGGCTTTCCATAATTCATATCGTTAGAAGAGAGCTCCTCATAATCATACATGTCCTTGGTGTGTACTTGCACACACCCAGTACTTAGTAGAAGTGTGTATTAATCGCATAAATAATACTATTTTAGGTGCTGTTACAGGAGGGTGTTGATGACATTCAATGCAGCTGTTCGGACATTAGATCTTTTCATTCGGACCTAGGTCCTCATGCATTCGAGGATGCATGCCGTTATGTTTATAGCTTAGGAATAGGTTTAGGCTAGTAAAGCATGTTCCACTTGTATTTCTTTTCTATTTTTTTCGACATCTGTAATGGTGCCATTTTGGCAATTGTTAATTATGCTATAAGACGATTTATCTCAAGATTGAATGATCCTTTATTAGATGGATGATATACATGAGTAATGAACTTCTTTATACGCCTATGCATGATATAACTACGAAGTCTATGTACACTTTAAACAAAACAAAAGTTTCAATTTTTTCGCTTTAATTAACCGAAAGAATGTAATTATGACGTAAGTAGTTTTTTGTGGGACAACCGAGAGGTCAACAACGCCGATTTAGGCTAGGGTCTAGGCCTCGGTTGTGAAAGTTTCCATACGTAGTACTTTTTTTATATTTGGGAAAATATTTTTTATGTTCTAAAAACTTATATTTATATTCACCACTTAATTTTTTGAAATCAAGGAACCTTATTTCTTCAAAAGATTAAAACATTTAATCAAATGAAAAAATCTTTGAGGGGGTTAAGGGATTACATTGATATTTTAGGAAGGTTTTTATGGCACCTAATATATTTACTAACATTACAATTATTTGGCAATTAACTTGTTTGGGTAAAATATTTTACTTACTTTTGGGATGAAAATCTATTTAAATTTGTTTGAAAGAGAAGTATTAACTTACTATTTAAGCGAGCTTTTTCTTTTGACTTGCAAAATTACTATTTTAAGTTCATTTAGACTTTGTTGATATAAATAATATAAAACTAAATAACATCCTGTGGGGATTTTGGATTTTTCAAACATAAGACTAACGACAATTCAAAAAAAAAAGTGATAGAGTAAAAGAGAGGAGAGAGAGAGCTAAGTCGAAATCTGGTTTATGTCTGCCTTTACCGATATTTGGACCTATTTATTTTTGGGCCTTAGACCCACAATGAGTTGTACATGTCCTAAACAAAAAAAAGAAAAAAAACAAAGTCTTTGGCCCAAAAATAATAAAATACAAAATTTGGACAAAATAAATTTCTACTTCTTGGCCTTGAATCTTAAAAGTTCTTCGCCCGTTTTTGCTTTTATGACTTGGAGACTTTTATGTAGATTGGAAACAGGTTTTACTCAAGAGAAAAGTATTTGGGCATTCTTGGTCCCACGTGGAATGCAAGAAAGGAAATAATTTTTGGTGAACTCAGGCGGAGTTTACGTGAAAAATGACAGACAAAGAACACCATTAGAACATTGGAGAAAGGAATAAAATACTAAGATGAAATTAAATAACATGATCTAAACTAACAATAATTAACATATATACATCAAATCATTAAGAACACAAACTTGAGAAATAGTTGAAAAAGAAAAGGGAAAAAATGCATAAAGAACAAATGCTCTTTCCAGAAGGTCAATAATGCATTTAAATAAAGAAGAATACATTACCTAATCCTAAACTATTAATCAAATATGCTGGTGATGTTTATGTAAAAAAATATTTAGCAATATGAAGGGAAGGAGGGACATGATCCATTGAACAACACTAAACCTTCCAAGGCTGCAGGGAATTAAGAACATTGACATGTTATTACCATAATTTTGTCAAGATAATTTTTTTTAAAAAAAAATCAAGGTTAGAGAAATATTTTTATTAAAGATGAGAAGAAATTGGATGAATTATCAAAGTAATAAGAAATATATTTAGACAAGTTTCATAACAAAAAAGGGGAAACCAATAAGGGACTACCAAAACCATGAACTCCTTTCTTACCACATTGCAGATCACATATAACGAAGGAACGATTAATAAAATCTTTATATCACTAAGAAAAGGGAGAAAAAAATCCTATGCAATAATGAGTAAAGCTAAGCCTTCCAAAAAAACATGGATAAAATTGTGGAATAGATTAGTAAGATCTATTAAGCCTTTTAAAAAAAAATGGGTGCATGCTTATGAGAGATATGTTGTGGAGCACAACAGAGAAATTAACCATTTTTAAAAATACACAAAGGAAAAACAAAAGAAAACGAGCGAGCAATCCTTTAAGAACTAGGACAAAACAAATTTGATTTGGGACAAAGACATGAATACAACTAGACTATAACTTAAACAAAGCAAAGTTAATACAACATAGTCAAAAAAACAAAAACCAAATTAGAGATGTAAAGCTATACAAATATTACAGGCTTGCTTACTTCTAAACATAAAGGAATTCATCCAGAACTGGTCATGTCCAGAAGATTAAAAAGTAACCTCGCAAAGTGAACAACGAAACAGTCAATGCAAACCAAACAAATAAAGAACATGGTACGAGGAACACGTAATATACGAACCATGGCAAACAAATCCTTAAACTAACTACGAAGCAATATAAAAAATCATTACGATTTTGCATTTTAAAAAGAATGTGTTGTTATTCTGTTCAATGATATTCAAAAAATACAGTCATTTCCTAACAACAAAATAATATAAGGAAAGAAACTACTTAGAAAAGGAAGAAGAGTTTTAAACAAAATAAAGATTTGATCCTCACCTTTCTTTGGGCAGCGAATGAGGATGACGAGCGAGTTGAACAAGGATTTTCACCAACTGAAGAAAAATTTGAAACACCAGGAAGTATCAAACGAGAGAATGTGAGCGGATGATAGATACCAGACGTTGAAGCTGCTATATCCTCTATTTTCGAAATATACTCAGTGTGCCTAGAAAATTTCCCAAACTCAAGACTCTCTTGACAATTTCTTGTCTAATTTTTTTGTTAGTGAAAAAACATACAAGATAATAAAATTACAAGATTACAATTGAAAATAAAATGATGAAATTAATCTCTTCAGGCTATGGCGCGGATATCTCGCTCTCTTTAAAGAGATTCAAGCCCACTGCAGCAAATGTTTTCACCGATCCAGCAGTAGTACTCTTTGACTTGTCCCCTCCAAGATACAATAGCCTTCAAAAAGTATTACTCAACAACTCTGGACAAGAGTTGAGTCCAAAGCTCCACAAGAAAGAACACCTCCCTTCAACTAATAAGAACTCTCTTTTAGACTACTCTCTCACTCTTTGTTTTCTCTTGTGAAATGTGTGTTCCAAACCAAATAAAACCACCACTATTTATACTACAACAAGTCTTCCTAGCAATGAATATGAAGATAATGGAGGTAGTGAATAGTGAAGATAATGGCCTTAGGAGTTTCATACGTTACATAGGTTACAGTAGGAGTTACATAGGTTACATAGGTTACAAAGAGTTTTATAGGTTACAAAGAGTAATGGAGGAATTAAGAATGAAATAAAGTGATGGACATCCAATGCTAATGGATGATGTAGAAGTTATCCATTCCAATGTTTATTTGAATGTTTTATCTCTACAATGAATTCAACCAATAAAGCCCGGCGGAGGCATATCTTGTCTCCTTTGCATTTCAACCGTGATTTCGGAAATCTGCTATGCACTACAGAAAAAACTGCCTATAAGGAAGGGGAATCTTGTGCCTAAATGTTTAAATCTGGCCGAAAATAGCATATTATGATGCAAAAATATTGGGCACCTCTCGTACTAATACCTATCATCGTTTAAGTAAAATTGCTACGGGTTTCTATATCTGGTTGTTAAAATCTTATTGGGGAAGACAACTAATACGGTCGCTGATGTAGTTTTAGAGACCGTCTATCACATCCCCAATAGGCGATTTTCATATTTGAAAAGTAGCTATCTGCGACCATTTATGTTTTTTCGCGAACATTAACTACCTGGTCCTAAATTACTCTATCATGATAGGCAAAAACCTTGTCCCAGATTAATTTTAGAGACAAGAGATTACCTTGTCGTAATTTAACCTTTGCAGATGAGCAACTACCTCATGCTATATTAACATCTACATACGAGCAACTATTAAATAATCCTCTCATTTACCACTATAGTACAGAACTCCATATCATAAAATTAATAAATTACATCACTAAATATAAAATATCTTCAAATACAAAATTCAATGCAATATGTTATATTTTTTTTTAATATTTGCTCAACAAAAAATCCTTAATCAATTAGCATCTTTAGCAAGACTATCAAGTTTTACATAACGTTCTTAGAAAAATAATAACGAGCTTGTGCATGTTCTAAATTTTCATCTTGAATTATAACTTCAATCTCCAAAATCTGTAAGAACAAAATCATACAAAGATCATAAATATCTATTTGTATATAATAATATCTATAAAGTTACGCTCGAATTAGTTAAAGTACTCACTGCAAAAGAATTGTAGAACTCTTCTATTCTACAGAAAACTTTAGAAGTTTAAATAACATTAAAAAAATATTAGAGACGTTAAAAAAGATGGATTTTTCATATTGAACTCCAAGAAGCACAATGAAAACACAACAACAAATAATTGAAAATGCACTTGAAATTACAAATTCCAAATTCCAGTTTTCATAAACATGCCTACAAAGGTCACTTTGATGTATTTTATTCATAACATTTTTCTCTTTTGCAAAGTTGATTTTAGGTCTGTGAAATTGCTATTTAAATGTTTTAGGGAATTTTCACAAACTTATGAATTCATTGCTAACTTGGACAAAATCTCAAAGTATTTTTCTTAGGTCAAAAAAGTGATGTTACAACTAGATGTCGGTAGAATTGATATTTGTAAATAATAGGGGTCACAAATGATTGGATATAGCACCTTGTTGATCATTTTCTACAACATATGAAGAGTTATAAAATGTAGATATGTAGGAGATATTATGGACGAGTTCATTGTGATCTGATGCTTAGAAGAGCCTACAAGGTTTAGATGTATCCAAATTCATATTGAAATGATCTACAAAAAGAAGAAAACATATGTTATCTTACACTCATCAAGTGGGAGTCGCATTCATTTACTTATCAACTATACAAAGAAAGAAGATTAAAAAACAATCGAAGATTAGTTTCACCTAGTTGTGCAGAAAAGTATGTGAAAATAAATCAAGAATAAGTTGTGCAGTAGTGGCTAGAAGTCTAGTTAAATTATTGTTCCTCGATTAAGCAATTTATATTTGTTAGTCCAAGTGCAAGAAACAACAATGTAATAGATAGTTATACAGAAAACTGTTTGAAAGTACAGAAAAAAAAACATGCAGCAGGGAAAATGTTAATCAGTTGTTCCTTTGTTAAGCCACTAGTTCATGTAAAAGTACATATGAACATACAACAACAACATGCCTGACAACTATAGGACAGGTGTGTATTTATAATGTAGCAAGAAAAAGAAAAATTACACTCATGAATTATTTATTTCAAGTACATCAAAACTAGATCCTATTTGTTCCAACCGTCCGATTATTGTAAAAGGTTAATTTGTGAAGGCCACAGAGTATTATGAAGAACTTTCTCTAAATATTTCTAGAGATAAGTTTCATCAAAACAAGATCATGAAGAATATTGCAAAACTTTGGATAAGAACTGAATTATTTATTCATTGAAATTCAAAGAACACAGAGGATCATAACAAATTATAATGATGCAGATGTCTTATGTTAAGATTAGCATTTTGATAAATAGTTATTGCTCCCTTCACTTAAGCATTTTGTCACTCCATATATTAATTTTTTGATCATGAACTTTATCATAAAAAGATAACTGGTATTTGCTCGATTATGTACACTAGCGGAACTACATATGGAAAATGTGTGTTATTCTTACTATTGGTGCTTCCGTTGGAGAAATTTCATACATAGATCAACATCTCACTAAAACAAATAAAAAGGTTATTTGGAATAATCCCTCGAGTTTAGCTTAATCATATATTAAATGTCTAGTGATTAATATAGTTTCTACATTACTCTTGTTGGTGCAGTAAAATCTATGTGTGATCTTAGTCTTCATCAGTTCATGTCGAATTTATGAATCTATAGAGTACACATACTTTAAATTTCTTACACTTGATATTTCATAAGTTAATTGAGAGATGCATATATTATTTCTATAGTATATTACTTATAGTTTCATAAATACTAACTTGTTGTGCCTTCTATGGAAATGGAAGAAACTAGATTATTGCATATGAATAGATAAAAGACCAGATAATGAAGCAGAATATACTGAGTGATTTGAACATATCAAACGCAAAAACAAATTTACAAAGGAACAAAATTCAACGCAAAAGAGGAAGTATACATCAACATTGATTAGATGGAAATCAATAAACAGAAGAGGGTAGAACTTCATGACCTACAACCTAAAGTGAATTCATCACAAATATGTGTAGCATTTTAAAATATATGAAGGAATAAGTCGGAAGAACTTATTACCTATGAATCATGTAGCTCAATGCGTCAATTTTTGTCCCATATGCTTCTTAAAAATATACTCTCCATTCCCTAAAAAGACAAAATAGACATTTCAGATAAAAAATTATGGCCGAAGGTCCCTGGCGACTTAAAATATTAATTTAACCATATCACGAGAGAATGACTATTGAATTACAAGATGAACTTAGTATCAATAATTTGTAAAACCAACTTACATAAAAATGTAAAATCAAACCATACTAGCTCTACGGTTTTTGAAAATATGAAGTCATCTAGTAGCCTTAGTTTGTAATAATCATATCAGTTTTGGTTAGTAAAGCATATCAAGAAAACAGGTTCGAAATAATTCAACCAATAAGCTTCAAAATATTTGTTTTTCCATTTTTTATTAGACTTAGAGACATCAATTAACCTTCAAGGTAGGACAAGATTTTCTGTTCTAGTGAGTGTTTCATGTTGCATGATACCTTCTTGCCGTTTTAATAACTTAAACCAGATCATCTAACAATCTCTTCAATAGTTGAGTCGAACATCTATTCTCTATTATTCACCAGAGGGCGACCATCATCAAATTTAAGAAATATGCAATATCACTAGAACTTGAAGCTACTCAAGCGCAGAATGCCAAATCACAACATACTTTACACAGTAAACATGATCACTCTAAAACCAACATGTTGAAATTAACCGACATTACCATATAAGATAAACTAGTGGAAAAATAGATTATTATCCAGTTAGCCAGCAATTTTAACTCTGTTTTTTCATTGATTAGAATTATTTAACAAGGAAAACGATAACAAATAAAAATTTCTAAATAATTAATACCTCTCAGCATCTCATAAAGCAAGCCTACCAGTAACACTCAGTACAATGTTAGATTGTGGAGTTTCCTTTCCGTCACTTGACAAAGGGATTCCAATTATAAACTCATCCACTTAACCTTCCAACAAAACCATAGTTATGAAACTTCAGATACTAGTATATCAATTTAATACTTACCAAAAGAAAAAAATAAAATGAGTAACTAAATCATATATAAGAAGAATCACATCAATAACCAGCTTATAAATTACCATAAAAATTAAATCTTTCTACATCATACATAGAGAAGATGAAAAGCTGTTTTTGGGCAGTATAAATAATTTGAAGCTCAAGATTCTGTCCTCTCAAATCAAAAAATGAAAATGAACCAAATAAATGTTCAAATATATGAAAGCTTACCATTATGGGTCGAATATCGATGCCTTTACTAAGGGAAAATCCAGTACGGGCAAGATCCAAATCTACTTGAAGACTAAAACATCCATTCCATTTTGAATCGCGCTTTCGTCGAACCGCATTTGGGGGAATCTCTTCAAGCGATTCTTCTTGCATATTGCGTTAGTTTCAGTAGTTAATAAAGGAGATATCCTGCCGTCCGGCCGACTGAATTGTCACCCGCTGCAAGCTTACCGCTGGTTATAGATGCCCCATTCATAATGTTCTTGGACAATATTTTCAATAAATGTAAATTAATTATCACTGATTTTTTGGGACAATATTTCCTAAGATAAATTTGAGTTTTGAATCATGAAAAAGAGCATGTAAATATTTTCATCCTCTTCTTAAAAGTGCACAAGAAAACTAAAATTATTAGAACCATATTTTCTCCACAGAATTATGATTTGAAGATATGCTACAAAGATTTGTGGTAAAGTCAATTTAGGGCTTTTGTGTATTGAAAATATCAACAGAATAATTAATTAATTGTTATTTATTGAAAAATTTTATGGGTTTTTTATAAAGAAATTTAATAATTTTGATAAACTTTTTGTGTCTCATGAATTTTGTGAAAAATTGAAAATGAACTTTTACCCGCTTACGCAACTTTATTTACATTTTTGGACCATCTATAACATTCTTTAGGGACTAGATTTTAAACCTTCCCAATAACACATAGAATTAGGTAAAAGAATATAATCTCGTCCTAGGACATGTTCTTTTTGATACTAGATTATTAACCGTCCCTAAATGTTGATTAGCTGCTGGATCAGTTCATTTTCATCTACGATGGAAGGTTGAGCCACCACAACATCCGTCAGGCTAATTTCATCATTGTTATCACTCATCCATGCTTTTCCCTTATCTGAACTTTGACCGGTAAAGGAATATGTACAACCCTTAGAGCTTGTGAAGTAATGATGATCAGCCATCTAGCGACAAAGAATAGATTTAAGTACTTAAGGAAGGAATACAACGCAAAGGAAAATTTGATAATTTGAGTTCAGAATAAATAATACAAAATATTACATAAAGAGCATGTACACGCACAAAAGTTGCTTTGTTTTACAACATGCCAACGCATGAGTAAATGGGAAACTGATTTTTCAACAAGCAGGAGTTTGCTTGTTTTAATTTGAGATTATCTTAGAAAGGTTAAATCACGTTGAAATAAGGTCTTCTTTGCTTCATCTCTTTTATGTTCATTGATTTGAGCCTCACAATTTCTTGTAGATTGAAATTTTTTAAAACATAAGGATTGGGCCTTTAAAAGGAAGCCTACGTATATCACAAGGAGATTTAAGGCCCTACGTTGTTCTAATACAAAAGTAAATTCTTGTTTTAGTTCATTCATTCACAAAAGATTATGATGAAATTGAAAAACAAACAACAATGCTTCTAAAGATAAAGGTGATTCCATCTAAGAGTCATTCATTTAGTCAATGCTACATTAGCCACGAGGAAAAAACTCAACTTGAATCTTTCCCTTGTCGATGAGGGTTTCCATGTCGTGGCGAAATACAAGAAATTTTTCAATGCTATGATGAGTGGCGCGGCGATAGGGGCAACATTCTAGAACTTCACTTCCCAAAGAATATAATACTCGCGCGTTATTGCATACAGGGGAAAGACCCCATTTCGAACTAGCTGCAAGTACACCTCAAACATTATTTTCTTCAAAGCAATGAAGGAGCAACGTTAGAACTTATTCTTTTTAGTGACCGGTATGTCGAGCGTCAGTTCATCACACGTAATGATAGCATTTTAACCCACCTATTCGTGACACTATCAATATCGAGCAGGTAGAGGACCACATTCTTAAACTCCACGCACTCCTCTATTGTGTGTCATTTCTCGGTGGCATAACACTCATAGGTCTTGCAGATCTCCCCCGATCCAAGTTTGAAAGATGTTATCTCGACGGGCTTCATCATACGCTAATAACGTAAGCGCTCATAAATGAGGGCGTACATAATAACTTCCATCCATATTCGATATTCTTGGATATACGGTTCGAGAGTGACGTTCTGGTTCATTTCTACTAAGACTTTATTCGAAATAAGGTTTGCGGGAAATCGCTTCCTCACAATCTTCTTCAGTATCATCTAACTTAATGTTATCACGGGCAAAAAATGTGTCATATAGGTATATTCCGTGAAGTCTCCGCGTATCGATTATCTCCTCGTCTGGGATACCACATGTTAATCTTTTAGCCACAATATTGTCTTCTAGTGGCGAGTTTGAAGCTTTAAAGGTTGTGACAACAATCTCTACCTCAAACTTCTTCAATATAGTTTCATGGAGACCCTTTTCAAAAAACATTAAATCATTTTTAGTTTTTTTAATAAATATGTTCTTGCCTTTATCAATAGCGGTGGATTTACCTTTCCTAAGATGATAGAATAATGTTTAGGATTTGGTTACTATGAATTTAGATTTTGGTTGAGAAACTTAAAACTCAGAAATTTTTGTCGGACATTGTTTACTAATGACTTGTAAATAGTTTTTTGGATATTTTTTTATAAACAGTGGGTTAACATTGTACGCATTCAAAGCAACACAAAAAATAAACAATTAAAAGCACATATATCGCATCATAAAGAAGTAGGTGATGCTTTTGTGCCAAGGGTAGGCCTAGCGAACTTCGAGATGTACGTGTGGAGTGAACCATTTGATTACCCCCAAGCAGATTGCACATATAATAGTTAATGTTCAAAATAGAAATAAGCAGGGGGGAAAACATGGAGAAAAGTACATACGCGAGCCCACGTAGGGGTCATTAAAACAACGTGCTGAAATACAAAAAAAGCAAGCGCATGTAGCGGCTTATATTGACAGAAATACATTATAAAAACCCACGCAACGGCAAAATTCACTATGCCGTCCCTAATGATCTTTATTCTGTTCTACTTTCCAAGGTCTTTATTTGATGAAACATGTATCGTAGCATCAAGAGGTATTCCTCGCCACGACATCCTTTTTCTTCACAATCCTCATATTGCATCCCATCTAACTTATCATTGACCCATAAGGCAAGCTTATCAAAAATTTGCCTTAGTTTTTCCCATTCCTGAGTTTGAATCTCAAGGACACATTGATTTTGGACAAATTTAGGATACATTTTCTGAGTTTCACGTGTCACCTCTCCTAGTTTGATAATAAATTTTGCCTCCTTTTCTTCCACGCATTGACAATGTTTGCGATTGGATAGAAGATACTTTTTATATGTCTTTTAAGCAAAATCTTGTAAGTTTCATCATACCCATCATCAATGTGATTTAGAGAAACGGTGTCCTAGTTTATTCACTTGTCTCCTTTCCACAACCTTAGATTTTTGTGTGGCGTCATCCACTCTATCATCACAATATTATACACGTACGCCCGATAGTACACCTCTCGAGGCGTGATTTGTTTTCTGTGAAACTATCTTAGAACTTATAAGGGTATGTATAAATGGATTCCCCGAATAGCTGGTAGTAAGAGGACGAGTTGTCAGTGGCCCCAAATTGGAATTCTTTGAGAAGAAGCGATCAAACATCCATTAGAGATCTTCTTGCCTTAACTCGGAAAAGATTTAGACCCATCTTCCTCTAGTTTTTCGGTTTCCTAGGTTTTCCAAAACAAAATATCATTCAAATCCCTGAGTGTGTTCCTACCATCAAGGGTATGCACCTTCTGAGTCCCATGTACTTTAGCCAAATGACCAAAAATCCACAAATGAAGGAGCAGGATTCAAACTTGAAAGTAATGATGTTCCTCTTTGCATTTTCCTAAAGCTCGGTACATATCTTAAAAAATGACAGAGCAATGGGATAGTTAATCACATGCCCTTGGTTCTAATACCCATTGAATAAAGCGTGTCCAAGAATTATCATTCTACTGTTGAAACATAGGCTCGAGCCATGTTGAAAAACCATGGTATCCAATAGTGTTATAGTGAAAGCCAAAGGTCGAATTTCATTCCATTCCCTATAGGTAACTCTGGACTCTTTGTTGCAGTTTGCATAAAAGCTCGCATTCCCAAATCTAACGTAGAGGTTTGTTAATCATACACTTGATTTTTGGGCCCTATAGGTGCAATTATTTCCCAATGCAAGCTTGTTTGTAATATCTTCGATGGAAGGCATATAAGGGATCAAAATATCTTCTTGTTTTATCACTCTTCTTTCTAACCCTCTTCCAACTCTGTCGATGTAGTCTCAAATTTGCTCGATTGTCAGGGTAATATACAAACCATGGAAAACAAATCTTTGAACTAACTACGAAGCAATTCAAAAAACCATTCCAACCTAGAATTTTGAAGATACGATGCTAGTATATTGCTCAATCATATTCAAAAAATACAATAATTTCCTAACAAGAAAAAAATTTAAAGGAAAGAACTACTTCTGAAAGATCAACGCAAACATTCAAATATTTGAGACGGAAGAAGAATTTCAAACAAAATAAAGGTCCAATCCTCACCTTTCATTGGGCAGTGAACAAAGATGATGAGAGAGATGAAAAATGACTTTTACATACCAATCAAACTCGAAACATCGTCAAGTATAAAACTAGAGAATTAGAGCGGAAGATTGAAACAAGACATTGAAGCTAGTGTATCATCTATTTTCAAAATATACTCAGTGTGCCTAGAAATTTCCCAAATTTAGGACTCTCCTGCACATTTCTTATCAGATCTCTTGTAGCCTAAAGAAAAATCTCCTAAATAAAATTTTCTCCACCTGAAAAGTAAAATATGAGAAGATATATATGGGAAGGAAATAAGGTAAAAAATGGGGGAATAATGAAGGGTAAACTCAGAATCCCTATAAATTTTAATCCAAAAACTTTCTTTCAAAGACAAAGGAAAACTGTTTTTTCTACTAGAATATCCTGTTTTTTCAACGAACAACCAGTAACAGTAGACTCAACTTCATAAACAACTTCATCTTTCTCGAACACAAAACTAAGTATCATGTCATTCCTTAATCCGTGTAACTAAGCACTCAATCATTCGAATCCTATCTATAAACTTCATTAATCATTAAAAATAAATAACATATAAAATCAGTTAACACCATATACCAACAACATGTTAAATATTACATTTATATATTTAAAGAATCGAAAAGAAGGATAACTAGGGAGATGGACGTTCAACAATATCATTTGGAAAAAACCCTAGTTACGAAATTCATGAATTTGAATCGTTTGAAGAGACTCTTAGAATATGAATTTAGATCAAATGAAAACTCATAATTTATGTATAACTTAATCTACGAAGAGCACCTTGCATGAAACCTTGAAATCGCCTAGAACGTCTATGAACTTTCCACCTCTTTCTTTCGTTCATTTTAGCATTCTATTCTCTACGTTTTAATGTGAGTTTTAGGTTTAGGAACTTATATTAAATTATTCAGATAAGTCTTAATAAGTTAATTAAATTAGTTAATTAATTAATT